TGTCTGTGGTAAAAAGCAGACAGCAAGTGCAACCATAATTTGAAGGACCATTTTGCAAGTCATATGTCAGCAGCTGCATAAATAGTTACCCCCCTACTTTTTAATGGGACGTTGTAGTATTAACGATGCATTACTGTGTTTATATGCATACAAAAACTTACTGGCATTTTGACTTCTAGCAATCACTTCTTTGAAGCGTGGTTAATTATTTGAGTTGCACTGCAGCTTAGCCCAGGAGGAAAGTCCAGCAGAACAGTGGCATTGGTTTGGAGTATTGGCTTACTTTAAAGAGTATGAGTAGGAGTATTTGATGCTGATATTGGCCCAATATTATACTGACCAGTGGTTTGGATGACATTGCTAAATACAAAAAAAATAAAGACTGCTTATGTCTATGCTATCAACCAGTTGTGATTTTTATGTAGTCTTCTTCACTGTAGATTTTGTGATTTCAATATTTAAAGCTTTTTTTTTTCTTACCCAAGGATGTAGTTAAACGAACAAGCAAACAAACAATAAATGCCTGTGTCTTCTGTAACTTTCCTTCTTTGATAATTATGAAGTAACACAAAAATAGATCACGTTTTGTTTGCATTAGCCAATGTGTGTGCAACGCATTAGATGCAAACTGTCCAAGCAAAACTCTACCAATCAAAGAGCTAGAATTTGTGTGAGGGCATTCAAACATTTGTGAAGTGGTCATGTTGGGTCTCTGTGGGACTTTGTCTGACAACGTGCATGAGTGAACCTCAGGTTGCTCATCTGTCTGATAATCCTCTAGGGCAGAGAAGAACAGCCTGCTGCAGGCCCAAGCCAGATGCTCACAGAGATTGTTAAATAATATCCACTGGAGTGTGTTGTCTGTCAGCAAAATTATCATCCACAGATATTCCCTCAAGGCTTTGCAGACAGTGCAGACCCGACCCTAAAAATACAGATGGTTCTGAGATTAAAATGATCCCCATTTATAACTGATTCATTTCATTGATTCATTTCATTTACTCCAAGAGCTGTTGTCTTCTTTGTGATCTTAGTCATTTATTGTGTATTCAGTGTGTCCAAAAGAAAAAAAATCACACTTAACTTATTTTTTATCTGTAACTTCAAGTTTCAGAGGCTTATTCAAAGCATTGTTTGAGTTGAAATATGGTGAATTTATAAACTCTGGAATGGATATGCAAGTCTTAAAGAGGTTTAAGCTGCACAACCTTCACATAATGACATCAAAAATACATGACTTTTCAAATTATTTGAATTTTGAATTGAATTTGAATTTGTTTAACAAATACCAGTAAGCATTCATTCACTCATTTCTGTCACAATGTCAACTTTAGCAGTCTAATACAATTACTGTTTGTGCACTAAAATACTATGTCCCATCTGTTTAGCTTCCACAGAAGTGTTGTTAAGATCTGTCTTGCTCTCAAGTGCCTCTCAAGATTTCAAGTGATAGACTTTCTCACTTGAAAGTCTATCACTAGGTTTTCTGCACAAAGTCTGTCCTCTTACTGCTAACAAAATTATGCTAAAACAATTGTTGAAATAGTCTTGGATCCAACAGACAGAAGATTGGCCATTTGTCAGCAAGTAGGAGAGAAACAAATGACAATCTGAATCTTTGAAAGCTCTTTTGTTTAACAAAACAAATGCCAAACAAAGCTAAAATCAACTTGTTTCCTCTTATGAGTACTGACAGCATATTATGACTTCTGAACTCTGAATATTTTTACATTGCATATGTGGCCAATCTCTAGCATTTGGAACTATGTTGAAAAAGTACAGCAGCAAAATTTCAGGTCCAACAGGAGCAACAACCTACTGAACGTCTCCATGGCACTGTTATACATGTACTCTATGCTACTGCTGAAATTATTTTTTGGGGGTCACTGGAGTTGATAAAAATGCCCCTCTTTAGAAGTATTTTCCAGAACAGCAAGTTATTTTACTACACTTAAATTTGTACTTTGTGGAGCAACTACAAAAGACCTTATAAAATATGTTTGGGTGTGCATTTTGCAAGGCTGCATGGTATGAAATGATTGGGAATGAGTTGAAGAACAATCGAGCTGTGCTGAAGCAGATTAGAGTCTTGAATAAAATATAACCATACTGATATTCTGGGCAAAAGCACTTTCACATATTAAACAAGTGGCAAAAGCACAGAAGTTGTCCTTTTACCAGCAGGACATGTTCCAACATCAGACCCCTGTTGTCAGTTAATAGCATTTATATGCTGTTAGTGTAACTAATGATTTAGAGATTTTGATCAAAAAAATATTGACAAAAGACAGAAGCTGATTTTCAGGTTCCACAAATAGGATGAGTCATCTATTATTGTGTGATGGAATAGAAATTGTGTCTTCCGTGAACCTTATCAAAGATTACGTTAAACAAAGGATAAACATTTACTTGTCTCATTTAATGTCAGTTATTACACAGAAATAAAAAGGAAAGAGGGAAAAAAGTCATACATATATATATATATATATATATATATATATATATATATATATATAATATATATATATATATATATATATAGACAAAATGGTAATGGCGAACCAACCAGACATTGTCGTAGTGGATAAACATCAGAGGAAAGCCGTTGTGGTAGATGTAGCAATTACAAGTGATTGCAACATCAGGAAAAGGAGCACGAGAAACTGGAGAAATACCAGGGCCTCAGGGAGGAACTGGAGAGGGCCTGGAAGGTGAAGACCACAGTGGTGCCTGTGGTCATCGGGGCCCTCGGGGCAGTAACCCCCAAACTGGAGCAGTGGCTACAACAGATCCCAGGAACAACATCAGACATCTCAGTCCAGAAATGTGCAGTCCTTGGCACAGCCAAGATACTGCGCAGAACCCTCAAGCTCCCAGGCCTCTGGTAGAGGACCCGAGCTCAGAGGATAAGAACCACCCGCGGTGGGTGAGAAGGGAATTTTTATATATATATATATGCAATTTCTTAGTGATTAGTTGAAAGACTGACTTGTTCTGACTTGTTTTTTTTGAGGTCAGAGGAATTTTGATATATCAGGCAAGCAGAAGTGAGTATGAAGTAAGTAGTTACATAACCCTTTCTTACATTTGACAAGACTTGACAATAGCACAAAGGCAAATCCATTTGTTAAAAAATATTTCCTGGAAAAAGAAAAAAAAAAAGTTTTGCACCGAAAAAACAACTTGCGAGAAAAGGTGAACTTTCAAAGTAAAAAGAAGGTTAGGAATGTAAAAAAATGTGAAGGGTTGAAAGTTTACTAAAATACAAAATAATAAAGAGGACCTTCCAGTGTATTGAGCGGAAAATATACTCAGTTTTTTTTCACACTATGATGTGTAAGAAGGTCCTTTTTGACCCGGTAAGGTAATCTTTTTTGCAAAATCTTTGTAATGAAAAGTTTTAGTACGATAGTAAAACCAGCATACACATAAATTAGAACAATTTCACAATATTAAAACCTTCAACCAAATACCAAAATATAATGCAGTGTTTATGAATGAAACCAACCAGCAATAAATCCTGCTGTGGTTTTATCCAACTTATCCTTTGTTATCCATAATAACTTTCCAGAATGTGTCGGTGCTTTTGAGTATGTATTTTGGAGGTTTATCACAGCACACAACTGAACTTAGCAATTACATTTTGAAGAACATATGACAAGAAACAATTGCTGATGGTGTGAATGAGTTCTTTGATTCAACTGGTTACTAATCAAACAAATCAATATTTTCTCATATATTCTCCACATCCTGCTTCTGTTGTTTGGCTCAGGACAGAACAGTGGGAGCAATCAAGTGTTCCCTCTTTCTCCCTATGATCCATAGTCATTGCAGAGTTGCACAATAGGTATTGTGTTTACAATTGATTGAGACACAGGGAAAAACAGAAAAATAACAAAGTAGCAGCAATAATTGTAGAGCAACAGAAGTGAGATGGTGATATCCAGGAAAGATGAACAAGAAGTACAGCCCCTCACAATTCATACCCATTGAGTTTTGCCTCAAATTACATTGTTTCAAAAATATTTGATGCTTTTTAGAGTGATTTTTGTGTGTGTGCATGTGTGTGCCTGTGACAGGCTGACAAAAAAATAACACGATTATGAGATGAAAGTTATTTTCATAACAAAGGTTGCAGGCTCAGGTTTGATAGGAAATATAAGCGATCAAAAATCTTTGTAGAAACCTTCCACATAGCCAAATTATGAAGCTGTGAAGAAATTTAAATCAGGTGAGACTCATAAAAACAGTTTTTATTCACACTGGTGTAAAATAACTTTGACGTCATTTGAGCTTTTATAGATTATGCTTTATTTTAAACTGAATCCATAGACAAATCTGTGTCAGCTGTGTTTGCCGTCTCCTGGCCCAGATAGGTTTGTGTTGTGTCTACTTAGGGGATGCCCCACATTCACCCTGCTCTTTGTTTCCAGAAAGACAAACAAATCAAAAAAGCAAAAATAATAGAAATGTTCTGGCATGTGGGCAACTTCATCCCACCAGTGCCTGATATATCCATATATATATATATGAAAATAGATGTTGCTTCTTTTTTAATGATGGAAAGTAAAAATACTGAAATAAATAATACATTCAGGTTTTATGATGTTCAGTTTCAGGCAGTGGTGGTTTAAAATAGAAATCCATTCACTACATCCTTCAGTATGAGTCACTGCTTCCAAAGCAGTGAATATAACAAAAGGTCATGTTAGGATGTGGAACAATGTTCTTTACAATCTACCTCCATGTACTTTTTATTAATTTTTTTTTTTACCAGTAAACATTCATTAATATTTTGGGGGAAAAAATGTAAAAAATTAAATTAAACAAAAACCTATCTTTTAAATTTTTGTGTCCTCTTTTACTGAAGACATAAAATGTCCCAGAAAATTAGGTCGGTATTCCAGTTTCATAACAGTAATACCTCACTGGCTTTATAAGGACAACACAGAATAAACAAAACAAAAAAAACAAAAAACTGATTTATGTATAATCTTCTGATTTTTATTCATAAAATATATGGGGAGGTTACATTCATGTGATACACAGACACATACATCTTTAAACATGATGGAGTACTTGGTACATGTATTGTAAAGAAAGCAGTTTCAATCTTGTTATTTAAGGAGTCAGAATATACTGTCGTTTTTTATAACACAGTGCACGTAATGGGGCGAAGTCCCATAAGGTACTGACAATACTACTCTGGATTTATTTTTAAACTGTCATTTATTGTCTATCCATATGGCAGCAAATATAGGTAATAAAAAAAATGCATAAAAATTAAAGAGTATACTCATGCTGTTACTAAATAACATCCATATTAAAAAGGGGGGTAAATACAAGAGACAAAGATTCTGATTTCCGAGTACAGCTAGTAAGTCACCCACAACAACTGCAACACTTAAAAAAAAACAGTTTTACTGTTTTCCCTCAGTGTTTTACTATTTCTCTACTGACAAAATAAATTGGTTAACTCATCATTTTTTGCTCAGACATGACAATTTTTGCTCAGACATGACAATTTTCTTCAGACCGTTAACCCTCAAAGCACAGCTTTTTACTCTGTGCGTGGTCCGGCAGGGTCACCCTGACACTTTTACGAGATTTTTTCAGTGTGGTTTCGGGAACTCACGGTGTTGTTTCCGGTAAAATTCTCTTAATTGTCTTCAAGCAAACTTTAACAACCCTGCTACTATTGTGAGCTAAATGCCACAATTACTGAATGCAAATCACACTTTACAAATTTAGATATTGAATCGACTGCATTATATTTTGATTCGGGATTTCAGCAATATTTCAGACTCAGTAATTATTAACACTTAATATTGACCAGCCTACATAAAAAGAAAATATTTTCAATGACCATTCTTTGTGAGTCTGTGTCCTCCTGCTGAAAAAAAGTAAAGGTTTTACAAAAATAACAAGCCTCCACTTTTTGGAATAACTACACTTAAGAAAATGTCAGTGAACTCTGGTAAATGTTTTCACTATTATACAATTGATCCAGTTGAAAATACAGGATTATCTAATATGAATTCATGAGTAAGTATTGTAGTTTGACATAACCACAGATAATAGGTGGTTATTGTGTTCATTTTGTCTGCGGAAACTCCCAAAATTTGAGTACAAGTCATTCTAGCTCACAAAGAAAGTGGGTTTACTTTAATTGGAATATAAAGTACCTTGCGATTGCATGACTGTACAGTATGCCGAATCACAAAATTTATAAAAGAAAAAACACTGATTTGAATAATTGGATGATATGAATAATGCATGGTCAAAATTTAAAAAATAATAATAATCAATAGAAAAAACAATATAAATTGAGTTTATGTAAACCTCCAACCTCAACAATAATTATGTAAATACACTTTTTTCCAGCCACCAGCAAACCAATGAACTGTGAAACAAAACAAAAAATCTGTTCTTATCAAATACAATTGAAAGAGGAAGAAAATCTATTCACCATGTTTAATGCAAATGCACTGCTTTATTAGAAGTACTGAAGTGAAACCCCTGGGCACTATCTTTTCCTAATTGTGAGGGTGGTCATATTTTATCTCATTGGTTTTACTCAAAAGATCTTACCCAGTTTTGAAGATGCTCCACTCTCTGTAGTGACCTGACATGGTGATCAGGTACTTTTCACTTTGACAGCACCTCTAGTTTCCATAATAGTAGCAAGTAAATGACAGGGGGAAGACAAAATCCACAAAACAAAAATACTGTTTCAAGTAATTTTTTGTCTCCTGTTGAAACAAATGAAAATAAATATATATATTTTTATCCAATAGGTTCAAATAAAAAACTAAAAATGTTTTTATTGTTTTTATGTGTCATGAATGTGAGAATGCTAGTGCTGCAATTGCACTAGGACTTAAGAGTTGCAACTGCTGGTGCACTTTCAACTAATAATGGCTGATAGTTTTAAACTATCAAAACTTTTCAATAAGACATTTTGATAAGGTTGATATTTGTAATCAGAGGCTTTGCAGATGGCACAAGTTTATCCAGGGTTTAACTGTGTAGCTATTTATCATCCCCAGTTTTATTGGAGAGAAAACTATTCTTTTCATTGTGACACTGCCTGCATGCAGTAAGTACTCCTGGCACCATGCAGCATTGCACTAGTAAAAACATCCAAATTGAGACACAGTAACACCTTGACAAGAAGTGACAAAAAGGTGTTATCTCTCCTAGAACACATCCCAACAGATGACATCAATTCATTCATCTCTATTGAATAAAACATTATTTATATATTTTATATCACTGTGACAATTTTTAAAATGACCTATATAACAATGAATACATTTGCTGAATGATGCAGATTAATTTTAGGAAATGTGTTTTACGACATGTCCCTCAGGAGTCTCCTCACTATATAATGCAATTCAAAGAGGTGTGATTTTTCTATGGGGATTGCATGCTTGGGACAGGTGTACAGAAAACAGTCAAGCAGGTCATTTCATTCTTGCTTATTCACAGTATTGATATGGTGTCAAAGGGACAAAGATTGATATACCATATAGGTCCAGTTTTTGGTCCGCTGTGGTCTGCAGTATTGGTCAAACAGACCTCCGCTGACCTTGCGCATGTGCCCTGTTGACAATATCCTGGTACATTTTGGACCTGAGAAATCGTGGGTAAGAGTCTTTCTCCATGAGGCTGTAGATTTTACCCTGGACTTCATTGAGACTGGCTGGAGTGGGATCTGACAGGCTCTGTTTGGTCTTCTCTCTTGTCCGGTAGTCAATGTTCACCTGACAGTATGAGATAAACGGATCGTTTACATCTGAATGTTAGGGAAGTAGCATTACGAATTAAAAAAAAAAAAAGTTTCCCAATACTGTCAGCAATAAAAGAAACAGAACAGTTGTCAATGTTTTGTGTGACCAGAAGCAACAAATTTTTTTTGCCGACCAGCTTATTTTTTTTTCTTTTCTGTCCAGTAAAAAATCACAATTCAGCTTCACACACACACTTCAAGCACACACATGTGAACTACAGTGACAGTTAGGTGTGGCACCATTATGTGACCATGGACCAAAACAAAACAAATCCATAGCTCAACTCTTCAGAAACTGCACTTCAACTTTCCATCCTCTTTTGATGTAATATTTCAAAAGTTCAATAAACTACCAGGTCACTAGCTATAAAAACATATTTGTTCAAAGTTTCCTATTACGATTTGAAAAAAACACTGACATTTCCTAAATACTGATATCAATGATAGCCAAGTTTATCTTTTTCAGCTTTTTATGTCAATAAACCTTGCACAGTAGGATTTTTTCTAAGCGTTTGTGCAATATTATGTAAACTGCTAGAAAAGTAGTATATTATTATTTAAGTGTTGCCAAATTTGTAAAGAAAATGCCTTAGTAAATTGAGCTGCAAAGCTGTACTTTTTGATCTTGCACTAAAGACTCCTGTAATGCTCCTCATATAACAACCATTAGGATTAAAGTCAGCACACTTTTTTTACCATCAAAGTAAAACATAATGCTCAAGTTCAAAGGTTGCCAGGTTAACATTTCTGAAATATAACTTTGTCTTGGCCGAAGGAAGATGTTTGTAATACAGCTTTAATGTTCTATCTATGAACATCAAAATACAGATATAACACACCTCTCTTGGTGACTGAACTTCAATGAATTCCTTGAATATCTTGCTTGCTTTTGACACAAGTTTGGTTGAGCTCTTGATTTTTTTGTACTCCTCACAGGCCATCCAAAATTCAATGTTTTCATCACTGAATTCAGACTTGAGGAATGTTCGAAATGCAGCAAGCCCATCTGCACATAACAAATAACACAGACAGGACAAAATCATGTCATAAAATCTGTACAGTGATTAAACAAGATTTTAAAAAATGTCCAATTCCACATGTTTTCCTGCAGCTATGAACCATATTTTACCACAGTCACACCATACCACACCACATACATGTACAAATGCACGCACACAAGCCCACTTTCTCACTATTGTCTTTATTTCACTAGAAAACTGCAAGAAAGCAGGTGTTCATGCAACTTTTGAAGGGAACATTTTATCTTCCGGTGGGCAAACTTCACCCACTCTGAGTGATATTCAGCAGAAGTGGGAGAAACTTAAATACTCTGCATGACTCATTGTCTTAATTTTAAACTGTGGGTCAATTTGACCCTGAACAATATACGTCTCTTAAGTTCAATTATAAAGATCACCCATTGAACAAAAAGAATGAAAATGTTATATAAAAAAATGTACAAAAGATCAATTTCAAGAAAATTATTGTTTTGTTTTGTTATTGTTGGGATTTACAAAAAAAAGCAAATCCTATTTTTTATGTCCAAATGAGTGAATGAGTAATAAAAGAAACATAATTGTACAGATATTGATTGAAATGTTTAGTATTGGAATTAACAATCAGAAACAAAATGGTTTTGGAGGAATTTTCTGGTTTCTGACTCTACAGCACTGTTAAACACTCCATGGGTCAAACTGACACAGGAACATTATTGCTGTACCTCAGAAACAAACATCACAAGAGGGTAACCTTCAACTTGACTGCTGGGTCAAATTGACCCAATCAGTATCTATGTAAAAAGCAGGGTGGGTTGCAAATGTGTAAAATGAATACATTTTCAATTTATATGTAGATTATATGTAGTTTCATGCAAAAAAATATACTTCTATTTTCTAAACTTTAAACTTGCATCATAACAGGAGTGTGAAGAGGTGGCTTTCCTGTGAGCCATAAAATGTGTTGTTTTTAGATATTTTTTGACTGTATTTTTTTGTAAGAAGTTGGTCGTGTTTTAATTGTTAAAGCAGAAACAACAACAACAACAACAACAAAAAAAAAACATGTTTTGATGTTTTAAATTAGCTTTGTGACCAATTAATGTTCTCACAAGTGATGATGACAGAAGAAGAGCATGTTTTTCTACAAGCTTGTCTCATGCTGATCTTTAATTTCCACCCTGCTCATTTCTGATGTTTGTTTGACAAAGCTAGTAAGCACAAAAAGGGCTGTTTTGCTAATTATACAGTAATGCAAATGGGCATAGAAGGATAACAAGAAACACAGTGTGGTCTACTACCTAAAGTTTGACATGTGTTGTGTCAAAAAATCATGTTTCTTCTTAAATTAAGGTGACCCAACATTATATGTAAGAGTCATATTTTTAAATTAAACAAAGTGCCAAAAGTGCCAAAAGTGTACAACACAAATAGACAGGAACAGTTTATGGCTGGCAATTTCCTGTCCTGAAAGTGAAGCTCATTATATGAGTTTGTGATCAAACATCCAAAAATGCTCATTTGTGTAAAATCAACAGCTTGCTCTGTGTGCAGCAGTTTACTCAGAAATGTTGTCAAATTGTTACTATTGCAGTTTACAACCTAATTCTCCTGTCTGATTTTCATGTGTTCAGTAATATATTTCAAACAACAAAATAATAGTTAAATATTTCATTTCGCCACCCTAAGCCAAAGTGGCCAAGTTATTTCAGGTAAAATGTTTTTTTGTTAGCTAAGCATTGCATAAGAACATGTTCTGATTATTTTAAAGGTTAGATTGTGGACCGCTGATTTCACAGCTGAAGGCAGCTGAGCAGCACAAAGGGACTAGAACAGATAGTCAAGTTGACATAAGGACAGATGGAGAATGAGCTAAGATAGGAATCCATAGCTCATTAGAAACAGTTTGTGGGTTTCTTATTGAATTTCCAAGGAAGATATTTGGTCAATTTCATAAAATTACTTTAATGAAATTGTTTGTTTAATTTCAACAATAAATTAATATCTATTAAGGCTCTCTTCTCATTAATATTAATTTACACAATGTCTGTGAAAATAAGTCTTTATTCATACAGGAAACACAATGATAGTGCTTAAAAAATTATAAAATGTTTATTACTATTGATTTATTACATTGTAACAGATTGAGCTAAGGTCTCTGATCATTTCCTTTTTCATTAGTCAGTTCAGCTGATTTCACGTCATGCATGCGACGTCACATTGCTTGTTAACTGAGAATAAACTCACGACCTGTCAGTACAGAAAAAACTGAGATGATAAGTCTGTCCCAATTTGTGCTTGGTCCAATGGGGAAGGTCAGTGACAAGTATGTGACTCATTATTGAGTTAGGAGCCCTGACAACATAGAAATAAGACTCTTACATAAGAAGAGCTGGAAAGGGGGACAACTGGAGTTAACTCATGTCAGGAGTAAACCTCATTTACAAAGAAAAGGAAGGTATATTAAGTTGGCCTTAGTATTGTTATTTTTTTTACTTTATATTTAACTTTCTTATAAGGTCAGAAATGATTTTTATAAAAAGTAATTAACAGAAACTTACATTTGTGGGCAAGAAGGTGATCAAATGATTCAGACCATCGAACAACTTCGTCTGTTGATAGTCTGAAGGAGAAAAAGCCAAAGAGAACAGACTCATTCATATGGTAACAAGCCATTATGCTTTGATTGATTTTTTTGAACCAAACATGGGTCTTGACATTTTGATAGGGATTATTACGTGATCTATATGCTGCTCTAAATGAATCGTCCTCTAGATAGTGAAAGACAAAAACCACAATATATTGCAGTGAAGTTTGTAGTTGCAATATGGCTGTCATAAATACTCCTGAAACCATATAAAATTTTATATATAAACTTTTGCAAGGGCTTTATCTGTTGAAATATGTTACTTGGAACGGACAACTTAAAAGAATTTATTATGCAATTTGTTGGCCTAAAAAATGAGTATTCTACTCTAAAGATCAAACTGACATCGCAAAAAGATATATGTTTAAGCGGAATGTTTTTTTCTTCATTGGCCTGTAAAAATACTTGACAAGAAAATGCTGTTTTTGAGGAGTGGACTCACTTCAGACATCTTGCTGTGGTCTCATGAGCAGGAGGCAGGAACTCCGAGAAGTCACTGTAGGAGTCCGATTTTTTGGAAAGACAGCCTAATCTGGTCTTCATGGTGATAAACCTGGAGATAAAACATGTGGGTGGTTCACAAATGACATGGAACATGGTATTTCCAGTTTCCTCAAACTTCTAAGATATTCTATAGGAAGCATTCAAAGTCATGGCATCTCTATATCTAGGAATTCCCAAATAGTTTGACTGTTAAAAAAAGTTATTATTTTTCTTTCCAATTTTGTCATTTACAAAATATGAAATGTTGATGGCAACATCTACAGCCAATTTAACCAAATGAGGGAATAAACATAACAGTTAAAAACATTTTTTATACTAGCTGAAATAATTAATGGAATTTAATTAATACGCAATTTACCTTTGTGTATAACATTTTATGAAACTAGCCTTTGGTGTGTGGACCATTTAAAAGAAACCATTATTGAATAAATGAAATAAAAAAGCTATTCCCTCATTCCACCTGAGCTATAAATACACAAAAATAAACCATACCCCCTTTTCCCTATAACAGTCTGCCTCAACTCATTTGTACACTGCTGCTGTCTTATTCTGTTTGTCAGTGTTCTGCCTGTGGGACACATGAGTCACAACAGATGGGGCATGACTATAAAGATGCTGTATCACAAGCCACAAACATCCTTTAACACTAGGGTTATTTTAAACAAAACAAGACAAAAGTCCCTTTTTTTGCATTTTATTGTACTAGTTAATATTTTCCAATTTCATCCTCATGAACTAAACTATGTTGATCTATGTGTACATTAAAGTCTCACCATATGTTTTTTGACTGCTTATCAAGGATATGAATGTCAGATGCACATAAATTTAAAAAAGACAATCTGAACATTTTAAAAATGTGTATTCATTTTCAACAAATGGTATTTTAGTGCTTTCACAAACAGGGTTGCTGTAAAGCTGATCAGGTTTATTTGTTTTTGCAGTCAAAAGATGTGTACTCAGAGAGATAGGAGGGAGGGCGGGCAAATTAACAGTTTAGTACATTGTGTGAATAGAAAAAGAACATCAGGGGAGGCTTAAAACAAAAAAAATATGCTAAGCTTGGGAAGAAATTATTGTTCAACCAAGACTGTGCTGTCAAATAAGAGTCCATGCATGCACCCAGCAGAGCAAAGAGTTTACTAAATGATCAATTAATTTGTAGTCTGACGTATGTTTTTTCTATAGGTAATAACAATGATTTAATACCTATACCTATTTAATACCTATGATGTTTTACAAAGTGGTAATGGAAACTTTACAGTCTCTAGAAATTGCTAAGAAACAGTAACTCCAAGCTACAATTTTGTGTGTGTCAATAATTTGACAATCAAAGCTTAGATATTTGCTGAATCAATGCTAAATTCAAATTTAGCTAAATGTATTAGACATATTTTGTACATTTGCTCACTAAAAAGCATGGGAACTATTGAGTGCATGTCTAAATTACAATCATGAGAAAAAAAAATGTATATTTTGGTTAGGTGTATTAGATCCACAAAAATTCTCAAAGCAAAAACAGGGGCAATCCTATTTTGCACAATGAAAAATATCTACAAATTCAGAAAATGTTTGAAATTTTTTTGTTGACAGATTGTAACATATTTTTAGAGGATAAACATTTTATTTAAAAAAAGATAGTTAAAGCAATTTTCAGAGATTAACACCAATGGTGGCAATTGGTATCTTCGTGTCACTATTAGATTGAAATCACCTTTTTCTATCTGAATTACTACATCTGCCTATGATTCTTCCTGTTTTCATATTTTCAAGATATTTTTGTGTGAAGAGAGTGTTCTCATTATAGGAAGTCATCTGTGCCTTTTATAGTAGATTAATGCCAAAACTAAACTGTATATGTGTTTTGCTTTATCCCTCCATGCATACATCTTACCAAATACAAAAAAGTATTTTATATGCAGTTTATATGAAGTATAACGCTGCTGCAGAAAAAAAAAAATGAAACGATGGACTACTTTGAAGATTGGAACGTAAATTGGGAACATTGCATCAAATGTACAGTTCATTACTCAGCTAAAAGCCTTTTACTGAAACTAATGGGCTACACCAACCACATAAATTCCAAAGCTTTTAAAAATATCACTTCATGTTCCCCACTCACTCATGAAAGAATGTTTTAATATACTTGGACATTTGACAAAACATGTGCATTTGCCTTCAGACAGGAACAACTGTACGTCAGGTTTTGGTAGTAGCTAACATGAATTATTTGTCACCCTACTTTGTGGTCAGAATAACAGAGAGGCGTAAATATATTTGCAAAAAGAACCTTAGTTTGCGTCACTAAGAGTTAACCCCCTTCTATGTTGTACTGTTTTCCAAACTTTCCCTAACCTATTGCATGTAAATCTCACAACACTCAAACCACCTGAATTTTTTTTTAAATAAACCATAGCACTGATGCTGCCTGAGCCAGAAAAACCCATGTTATATATAATTTTGTAATGGATAAAAAAGATGCAAAGAACGAGAAAAGCAGGTTGCTTGCTCATCAAAATGTGTCATAACCTCAAGGCAGATTCACTTCACTGATAGTTATTTTCAGAGTGCTGCAAAAACAAAAGATAGTGAATAAGTATAAAAGAATAAACAAGTAACAAAATAAAAACACTAATGTATCGTGTCGTGTAAAGTGTTTTTGATCTGAAACACGATGTGGTGGAGAAAAAAAATAGTGCTAGGTATTCCTGTTAGAGATACAAAAGAAAGTGGCCATTATTAATTTAGAAGCGATTAATTTAATGTCGACATGGTACAATTCTCTGAAATTCTCAGTTTTGCTAACCTGAATGAAAATTACTTTTGTCACACCATTACAGTTTAAACATTTAATATTCCAGACATAAATAATATTGTGATCTAAAATATTTTGATATATAGATCTACCTAATAATTAGGCAATAAACTAAGTAAAGTCCTATAAGAAACTTTTGCCTGTTTTGATAAATCTTTTTTCCATGGCATAACAGTGTATATTTTCAAGATTGAAAATGTTGCACAAAACCCAAATTCCCCTTGAAGAACTTTCCATCGGCCATATAATCAACAGACAGCAGCAACAAGTTGGGGAAGGACAGAACACTACTATTATTCACTAAAGTGCCATGTTTTCCAGCATGTCTTTGAAAGAAGTCTAAATTACTGGAATGTTATAATGGAAATTTTTGTAGGTTGAACATTTAAAAAAATGATAATAATAAAATCCGTATCTTGTTTCCAATAAATGGCCTAGAATGACTGTGAGCACATCTGGAAAATCATTCAAATAAAATGATTGGTTCCACTAAAATTATGAATCCCATGTTAAAGCATATTATATGACATTACATGCTTTTTTTAGTGGACAAGGGTAGTCACAATACAGTTCATGCAGTTTAATATTTTTTATGTTTGTTAATCTCTCAATATCATGCGTTTCCTCTGCCTATTTTCTTGGCTTGTCTGTGTGCTACAAAAATCAGGCTCCATGGTTCCTGAGTGTGCTGTATGCTGCAGACACGTGCTACTGAGCTATTTATAAAAATCCCTGACATATCCATGTAGTCAGGAGGAAACAGTGCATGTTCTATTCAACCATGCAGTAAGGCCGACTCCTGGAGGAAAAAGTACATCTAAAAACAGCTCCAGCATTCTAATGTCTCAGACAAGAATTGTCTCAGACAAGAATTTCTTGTGAATGTCTGATATGTTGATATGATATCTTATATGTTGACCAATAAAAGCATTGGTCAACATTGCCTTGTCCTCTAGTTTCTTTGTATGCCCAATGAGTATAAATTGTGACATGAAAATCCATGTGTGTGTTTTAACATCTCTCAACTTGTAAAGTGCATTTCTCCATCAAGTACTTGTGAGGACCCAGTGCCTATGAAAAGTGATGTTTTTGTGTTGGGGGGCAGGTGTAGAGAAAAGGTGTGAATTGAGTTTTAGTTGGTTTGGGGTTAGGCATATACTGGCAATAGTTAGGTCATTGAAATTATTTAAAAAATGAAGTAAATGCAGAGTTCTTGTGTAGACAGGAAGACATACGTATGTGCATGTCTATGTAAGTTGGATATTGCTTGACTCAATGCAATACAGGTTTTTAGATCTCATCCCTGTTTTCGTTTTTTAAATGCTAATGAGAGATGTCCTCAAGTTCTGTTCAGTGGATGTGTATTTTTAGCTGGTATTTTGTTAAGAGTTCTCAACAAATTCCCTCTGAATTCATTAGTGTGACCTAATTTAAGAATATGCTAGTTTACTCTGCAAGTTCTACAGCTGAAACTATTTCATATCCAACAAAATATATCTTCCCTCTGCAGTACAAAAGTAAGATTTATACCACAGACACAAAAGATCATAAAGTATGTAAGGATGCTTGAGTGCAAGAATTCTCAGTTTTGTTGGTTCCCAGGCAAAAGGGTCTGGTAAAAAAAAAAGTGAAACAGACATGATAGAATGATTGCTACCAAAGTGGCTCCATTAGTATTTGTACTATCAGAGTATGATCAGGGGAAATAGAGTATGATCTATTTGTTGCAACTACTCTTGGATTGTTATTGATATCCACTCAAGAAACAAGTAGAACATAAGTTTTTGTCTACCTGTCTGTCATAAGCACAGCTGAAAAGGGTATGCATTTATTGATTGGTGGTTTATTTTGAAAGCCTGTATTTTTATAGAGAGTATTGTTTTTCCGCTCTTTGTTTGGATTCATTCTAGAATGCTCCAGGGCACTAGGTGTTCCCTGACAGTGTTAGCTAATCACTGTTCTGCCACATACGGACATCCTCCTGAAAGATTCAAATGTAACTGAAGTGACTTGTTTGATCACTGATGAAAACCCACAGAACTGGGAAGTCTTTCCACATTGTGTAAAAACAACAGCCTTCAACAGTAAAAATAAAGTGATGATTATAGACAGGAGGGGTCTCATCAGAAAGCAGGGATAGAAAAAAAAAACAAAACAAAAACGGAGTGTATTTTATTTTAAATTATGCAATATAAAATTTAAAGATGAGCCATGTTTGGTGGTCAAAAAAGATTAGA